GGTGCTGACCGACGGGTTGGTGATATGCTGCCCTGTGAGGCTGGGTGAGGGGTGTGGACAGAGGGGTGGGTATGAGGCTGCCCTGTGAGGCTGGGTGAGGGGTGTGTACAGAGGGGGGCGGGTGTGAGGCTGCCTTGTGAGGCTGAGTGAGGGGTGTGGACAAAGGGGGTTGGGTGTGAGGTTGCCCTGTGAGGCTGAGTGAGGGGTGTGGACAGAAGGGATGTGGCAGAATGGGTCCACTGCCTACTGGGCGGCGGGTGTGGAGGAGCTGGCTGGTTGGCAGATTGGCGCGGTCTCTGGCAGGTCTCAGGCGGGCGTCAGATAGGCAGTTGACATCCTAACCCAGGTTCCAAGAGGCCAAGGCTGGAGATAGGCGCCAGAGTCATCACTGGTGACAGAAGCCACAGGGCTGACCTGCTGGGGAGTAAGAGCCCCTGGGGGCCAGGCGGAAGGGAGTGGAGCTCAGCTCAGAGGGGGCGGTAAGGGGCCGGGAAGCCAGAAAGGCTGAGGAGAAGCTGGATGGGAGCGGGAAGGACCAGCTGTATCCAGGGCTGCGGCTCAGACGCAGAGGACTGGATGTGGCCCCTGGCTTGGCGAGGTGGCCCTTGGTCACTGTGACAGCTGCAGTTTCTGTGGAATGATGGGGATGAATGCGATTGGAGGACTGTGGTGTGTATTAGGCAGCAGTGAGAGGAGATTTCCGTAAAAGAGGACGAGTGGCCAGTTGAGCCAGTGAGGCTGGAGGAGGTGTGATTCCTGCTGGGCATTGCCTGGGGGTGAGAGGAGGGTCAGTGCAAGAGCTCCTCCCGGGGGTGAGGGGAGGACCCATGCAGGAGCACCTCCCCGGGAGTGGGGACCTGGTCGGTGTGTTTGGGAGCACCTCCCTGGGAGTGGGGACCCGGTCGGTGCGTTTGGGAGCACCTTCCCAGGAGTGGGGATCGGGTCCGTGCATCTGGGAGTACCTTCCCGCGAGTGAGGACCTGGTTGGTGCATTTGGGAGCACCCTCCCGGGAGTGGGGATCGGGTCCATGCATTTGGGAGCACCTTCCCGGGAGTGGGGACCTGATCGGTGCATTTGGGAGCACCTTCCCAGGAGTGAGGATCTGATTGGTGCGTTTGGGAGCACCTCCCCGGGAGTGAGGACCTGGTCGGTGCATTTGGGAGCACCTCCCTGGGAGTGGGGACCTGGTCAGTGCGTTTGGGAGCACCTTCCTGGGAGTGGGGATTGGGTCTATGCATTTGGGACCATCTCCCTGGGAGTGAGGGGAAGGTTGGTGCGGGAGCACCTCCCTGGGGAGTGAGGGGCGGGTGGGTGCGGGAGCACTCCCCTGGGCCAAGGGAGGAGGTGGGAGCACAGAGGCTCCTGCTGTGGATCAGGGTAGGAGGCACGGTGGCTGAGCCTGAGCCTGCAGACAGGGATGGGGGGGGGGCAGCGAACATGGGCTTAGTTGCTTCTCTTCTGTCTGTAAAACAAGGAGCAGGGCTGCCAGTAGAGGAGGGACGTGGGAGCAGACATGGAAGGCTAGGAGGGTGGAGAAGGTGAGAAAGGCTGTGCTGATGGGGTGTGCATGTGAGGGAGCGGTGGGGGAGTGCACACGTGCTTGAGTGGACTGTGGCAGCAGGAAAGGGTTACCACGTAGCACCCGTCCTGGCCGGGGCAGCCTCGAGTTCGGGGAGTTGCTGAAGGCTCAGTGGCACGTTTCTCTCCAGCCACAGCGGGCCATCGGATGGGGTCTGGAAGAGGTCCCACTTAGCTAGGGTAAGGTCCTTCTCGAGAGTAGGATGGAGGGGTGAGGTGGGGCTGAGCACCTGCCAAGTGATGATGAAGTTGGGCAGGTTAGCAGGGACGAGGCTGGGAGGGAGGGAGGAGTGAAGGAACGGGAAAGGATGCAGGAGCAGCAGGCACAGGACCTGCTGGGGAAGGTGGGAAGGTGAAGGTTGGGGGTTCACCAGGGAGAGGGCAGCAAGATGAGAGGGCAGCAAGATGAGAGGGCGCGGCGGGGCTGTGGTTCAGCGTGGCAGACTGGGCAGCTATTGGTCATAATGGTGTAGAGTCTGAGCCAGGAGCAGTGGGCTCCTCATGACAACTGGGGGAAGGCTGCAGGCTTCAATCATGTGGCCCTGCGCTGGGCTCTGGACTCAGTGAGCCGGGGCTGAGCCCTGGGAGTGCTGCTCTCTGCAGTGGGAGTGCAGCTTGGGCTCTTGCCTTCCACAGGGGTCTCTGGCCCTATGTGCCCCATAAATAGCATTTGCTAAATTTGGGGACGATCTCTATAAAACTTCTCTGAAGAATTATTTTAATTCAGAGGGTTGAAATACACAGTCTCATTTTTCAGCTCCTAGTAACGCAGTTGCACATGACTGTGAAAAGTAAACCTGCAAGTCCAGCTCTCCCAGCACTGTAGATTTTAAGTATCAATTAACAGAAAAGATGTTCCATAGGGCCCTAAAAGGGAAGGAATTGTGTATGAGCCTTATTGCTTTACATCAGAAAGAGTTGTTTTTTAACTTGCTAAGACCATTTACAGAGAAAATTGCCTTGAAAACATTCAATAAATGCAAAGTGTTCTTTTTTTTTCCATAGACATGTCATTTTGCAATGCCTACTACCGTGAGTCTTTGAAAACATTTTATTTTCCAAGAAGTATCAGAAAACTTGCACATTTTATTACCATTTGGGTTTTTCACACTGGATCTTTTGACTTTTGCTAAATCGCTTTTTATACCTAGGTTTTCAAAAACATGAAAACTGTTATCAAAGCCTTGAGGCTCATTGATGTTAACAAGACTGGGCTGGTTCGACCACATGAGCTCAGAAGGGTTTTGGAGACCTTCTGTTTGAAGATGAGAGATGAGGAATACCAACAGTGAGTATTCCGTGGCTGGTTGGGTGGGGAGAGCGCTCAGCACTTTCAGCCAGTTCCCCCGGGAGACCTGGGGGCTGGCTGGCTGGACTCGGCATGGTCCCCTCCCGCCTGCTCTGCAGGCGAGGCAGTCACTGGGCGTCTCTCCTGTTGCTGAGGCTCTCCAGGAGGGCTCACTCTGCGGCCTCGGCGGGAGTCATCCGCCACAGATTTGAACACATCTAGATTATTTGAGGAACCCGCCACAAACTCCCCTTGGCACCATGCCCTCCATCCCAGGTGTTCTGGTTCACAGCAGATTCTCAGGAGAAGACAGAAATGTCAGGGTTTAGTCCTTTATCGATGTGTTTCCTGGTGGCCCTCCATCCTGCAAGGATAGCAGAGACTGAATTTCCCTTTGGGGACTTTTGCTGCTGAGGGGTGGGGGGATCCCAAGGGGGGTGGTGAATACCAGGCCTTGGAGCTACTTCAGGGCCTCTGAAAGCCTCTGCCACCTGCTCCTGACGCCAAGGGTAGTGCAGCGAAGCCTGCAGGGACAGGTTTTTGAGCCCTCAATGAACGCCAGGACATTTAGAAGAAGCCATGCATGTGGTTTCTGTGGGGACGTGAGTTCTGAGCAAAAGCCCAGCGTGCCCAGCCAAGAGGTCTGTTCCCTCTTCCTGCCTTTTCCGGACCCTTTTTGAAATGCCCTTCAGGTCATTCACACAAGTCCTGAGCCTTCCCGTTTCCCCCAGAGCTGGAGCGTCACACTGCACTGAAGTCCACGTGTTCCGGAAACGGGTGCTGTAGTTGCTCATGTCCCCTAAAGGCAGCCCTGCGGCTGCCAGTGGTGAGGACATCCCGAGGGCATGCGGCACTTGTGATGCCACAGGGGCTAGGTGCCAGGAGACTCAAAAGGGCATTTCCCACTCTCGGGGGTATTTTCTTCTTCTTCTTTTTTTTTCTCTCTCATAATCTACCTCAGAATATAAAAGACATAATAGATGTTTTAATTTTTACATCTTTTGCGGCTGGGAAAATGTCCAGAATAAGATCCAAACAAAACAAATTAAATAATTTTGTGCATGCAATTATAGAACAGAGGCACGCTCGTCTAAAACAGGCAATCAAAAACAAAACAGTGTTTTATTCGACAATAAACCTTGTGTTTGGCACTGCAGTCTCCAACCTAGTAAATCTATAAAAAATGTTACTGTCTGTTTCCCCATCTCAAAGTATGGAATAATAAAGAACTGCACACATTTTTATTTGAGATTTTTTTTTAAAGCCTCAGAAACAATGCTGTTTTCATGATAAGGCTTGAGAAAGTTAACATAATAGAATTGCTTTCCTTTAGACTAAGAAACACAGAAGATCAAAAGTAGACCATTTCTTCAATTGCTTTAATGCTTTTCTTATTGAAGCTCAAGAATATACTCTTTCCTCAAGAAGCTGCTTCAGTATTAACTTCTCCTTTTTATTTTTTGAGCAGGAAGCACAATGCATTTAGAATCCTTTTTTTTTTTTTTTTTAATCTGATAGCTTACTATTTAATATCAGCATTCGGCTTCTAGTGTGGGAGCAATGACCTAGGCCTGGAAGTCAGCTCCGTTGGGTTAAATCTGTGCTCTGCCCTCCGTGGTCATAGAGCTTTGGGGAAGCTGCCCCTGAGCCTCTCTGAGACTGTTTTTTTCTCTTTTTAAAGAGAGATTTTTGCTATAGGGCACGTGTGCCAGAGAGACAGAGAAACAGAAAGTGAGAAATCACCCCCTAGGGGCATGGCCATGCCACAATCCCTTCTGCTCCATTCTCCTCTCAGGATTTTAGGCATGTACATACACATGCCTGGCATGAGTTTCAAGCCTCTGGGTCCAGAACTCGAACCACGGTTGGCCATGTAAGAGTCCAGTGATGTAACTATTACACTACCTGCCAGTCCCGAGACTGTTTCCTCTTAAAAGAAGCGAGCACTAAGAAGCTCACCTTGAAGGGCTGGGGAGAGGATCCCGCGCCCGGTGGTGCTGGCATCCTGGCGGCTGTGTTAGTCATTAAGAGCCATGTGTGTCCTCCACTCACTGATGAGCAGTTCCTTTTGGGCTGCAGAACAGGATCCAGCTTATGTAAAACAACGGGCCAGGGAAGAGGTCACTGCAGTTTGTGCTTAGCTAGCCCTACCTCGAACCACCAGGTTTTGTTTTCCTATCCCCCTCAGCCCACCTTACCCTCTTTCACCCTGCCACGATCTAGATCAGATAATTATAAGCAATTATAACTCAACAGTGATTTCTTAATATTACCAAATATCGTAAGACAGACAAGCATATGGACAGTCACCGAAAGTCACCTGCTGCCAGAGCAGACAAGATGCCCAGGCACAGTTCAGGTGACAGGGGTTGCTTGGAGTGGCTCCCTCCTCCTCCAGACTCGGCCTTCCCACATGACCAACTTGCCTGCTGGTGTCTGCAGCCTGGTCAGGCCTCTGTGCAGAGTTCAGGTCGCTGTGACAGTGACCCTGGCTGTTTATCTTAGGAACAGCCTGTCTCCCACCCTTTCTTATAAAAAGCCGCCGAGACAGTGCATTTGTGCGGAAGTCTTTAGGAAACACAGCCATGGGATTCTGCCTGTCCTCGGCGAATGTGCAGCAGGCGTTGTGCACATGGAAGGCTGGGCATTCCGATGGGTCAGGATTCTCCGGTAGCAAATACCGGGTTTAAGGTATGCTGAGTTTTCATAGACATTGGGAGGTTGCCCTTTTCCTGGAGCAGCAGATGAGCTAACACTGTCCATGTGACAGGAGCTCTAGAAGGAGGACATTAGGTGACACCTCTGGGCGCTCGAGCTTACAACCTCATTTTCACGCGACAGAGGCTGCGGATGAACGAGGGAGCTGTTTAGGGAGTTGCAGCGTTAACATCTGGCAGCTCTCATATCTACAGATCATTTTTCTTATTAAAACAATAGACAAGATTCATCAACGTGGAAAAAAAGGTGCATATTGAAATGAATGCATGACATTACTCTTTGTTAAATTTGGAAAACAGAAAAATAACAAATACTTCAAGTGATAATTAGTAAATTTTTAGAAAGCAGGGTGACATTAGATAATTATAGAAACCAACACATATGGAGATAATATAACCAAACATTTAAAAACTGTCAATTTTTTAGAAATGTAATAATGCAGAAACCAACTAGAAAACAATTTATCAAGTGGCAGATTTGAATAATAGAAAATTCATTTACTTATCATAACTTAAAGAAAAAGTATCTCCATATATTTTGGGGATAGGCAGTGGTTAAGTCTCTTGAAAATTTCTCGATATATATGAAAATTGTAGAGTACTTTGGGAAAAGATTTGTCCCTTCTGCCATCCACTGTTTGAAGCCATTGGGAGCCATCCTTGGGCCTTGGCTTTTCTCAAGGGAAATGCTATGCTTGGTCAAGATCGTCTGCGATCTTCCCACCTCCTGGCCCGACATTTCCCTAGCCATGGACATTTTATGCTAACTGACTCGTGGGCCAGATCCATTTTCTTCCAATTATTAGAGGAAGTGGAGTCCTGCTCTGCTGAGTGGACACGTGGCCGCCATGTGGTCTATGGCTTGGCTCAGCGCCCCTCCCACCAGAGCAGGGAGAGGCTCCTTAGGCCTTCCAGGCAGCGCAGGGTTCCCTCAGCAGGCTCTGTGATGTTTCTGTCTCCTAGGCTCTGCACATCCCTCTGCGGCCAAAGATCTCCTTTGAAATATCTACATTTAAAAACCTTCCCGCAACACTTCCTAGGGTTTACTTTTATAAATCCCAGCTGTGGCTAGAAACAGACATTAAAGTTGATGCCAACCCCGGGGTAAAGGACACCTTAGGAACAGCCTTGCTCATGTCACAATTTCTGTTTTCTAAAGGGACATTTATATTTTAGGTTTGCAAAACACTACAACATTGATAAAGATACTTCAGTGGATTATAATGTGTTTCTGAAGAACCTCAGCATAAATAATAACTTGAACCTTCGATATGTCATGGGAAATCAAGGTAAGTATTTTTACGTTTATAGCTAAAGATTTCAATATCCATTGGCATGGTAATTCCTCTTCTATGAGTCTTTCCCGAGGAACACTTTCAAGTATGGAAATGCATTATCTACAAAGAGAGCCAGTAGCAGTATTTATAAGAATTACGTAAATGCCTAGCCATAGAAAGAGGGGTAAGTGAGTCCAGCATTTCCACACAGCGGAATGTACAGCCAGGAATCACTCCCAGGAAGAGTTAACGATAACAGAGAATGTATGTGGAATATCAGGGACTGGTTGGGAAGTATTAGCAAGCACTCAGATTGAGGGGTGTGTGGCTGGGTTTTACTCTGTTCTTCTTTCTGGTTTTTTTTTTTTTTTTTTTTAAGAATATTTGATAATAAACACATATTCCTTTAGTGATGGGAAAGATCTTAATACAAAAGGGGAATAGTTGAGTAATTTGCAACTCTATTAGAAAGGGAAAGCCAGGCTTATGCAGACAGAAACCTCTAGAAGGTGAGTTTTCCCTGTGCTGGCCACATCCTAGCCTTGGCCATGGGACACTGAGTTGTCACCTGCCTGGGTCTATGTGGAGAGCAGGCTTACACTTCTTTGAGGATAAAGTGTTGAGTATGAGTTTCCCAAGGGGACACTCCTTCCTGGCCTTGGGTCATCTCCCCTGCCTTTATCAGGTTCTCTCGGTAGTGGTTTCTTGCCTGGGGGATTTGCCACCTGTGGCTGGCTCTTTAAAATGAGTTTTCACGGTAGTTTCACATTAATTCAGGGCAGCAAATCTTCACTGAGCATCTTTTGTGATCCTCGGATCCATCTCACTAGCAATCTGGAAAGCGACAGCGGCTCTGCTTTCAGCCTGGTTTCACTAACCGAGATCACTTACGGCAGACACCGGGACTCTGCTTGGGAAAGCCTCCCATGCCGGCCCAAGGCTAGGCGTGCTGTAGCATTTCTTCATATTCCTTGCAGCCCGGTGGCATAGACACTAAGCAGAAGAGTAAAGATGGAAGACAACAAAGCAGTGCCCCTCCTCGGAAATAACCACCGTCACCCTAGTTCCTGGGTTTTCCCATACTTATGTGTGGAAAGAGCGAGGTAGAAAAAAGTGATTTTCTGAAAATGAGTTCACATAGATGCTATTTCATATAAGAGCTTACTTTTACTTGAATGTATCAGAAGGCAAAAAATTGAAATTAAATTCAAGAAAATGATGAATATATCTTGGCTGGTATAACACCCACAGGTCACTTTTCCCTCTCAAAATGTTGTAGACTTTGATCCACTGCCGTCTAGCACCGAGCGGACCTGGCTATGGAGAAGCCCGAGGTGTGCCTAATTTCTCCCCTCTTTGGTGACTTGATTTCCCTACTTGGCTGCCTATAGAAGTATTTACCCCTCAATTTCAGTAGCATAGTAAGGATATGACTTTGCATTGTGCCTTCTGCATTCATTTTCCATAACAAAGCATAATTTCCTTTTTTAAAAAAAATTGAACAATTTCATCCATGTATGAAAGAAACAGAGACGGAGATATAGATAGTACCTCGACAGGGTCTTGATGCCGTGACCCACCCCAGCCTCAGCCATGCTCAGATCACGGGCACACACATGTCTGTTGTACCAAGGTAGGTCTCTGGACACGAACCTGGAATTTCCCCACATGGGTCGGCCTTGCAGAGTGTTGCATTTTACCACGTACCATTGTTCAGCCCCAACACAGTGTATGTTCAATTTCAAAATTTAATTTTTTTTCTTCATTTCAAGATTTTTTAGTAATACTTACCGTTGAATAAATCTTCCATTTTCTAATAGATTTTTTAAAACTTTTTTTCTTTTAAAAAATTTTTATTTATTCATTCATTTTTAATTTGACACACACACACACACACACAGAGAGAGAGAGAGAGAGAGAGAGAGAGAGAGAGAGAGAGAGAGGGAGAGAGAAAGCTAGCAAGCACG